GTTGGTTACCACTGGCAGTGACGGTGTCAATGTCGCTGCGATACAATCTCTGCACCGGCCGATCGGTGGGATTAAAACGGGGCGGCAGGCGGCGGTCCGCCAGGCCATCCATCAGACTGTCCTTCGCCACCGGTCCGCCGCAGGGGATTGTAGCGTGCCGCCCCTTTCCGAACCGGGGGAGCGAGCGGTGTCGTGATTTAACGTCCCTGCGGCACTGGTGGGCTGCGCTGGCCCGATGCTATCTCCCCCCGGCCTTCACGCAACACCACCGGCCGCCGGCCGACGCCGGGTGTCGTTTTCGACAAACGTCGGACGCCAGCGGCCGTCCGGTGCCGGCTGCGGCCGAACGGTGGGTCTGAGGGGTGGATGGAGTGGACAGCGGGCCGGCAGCTACACCAGCCGGGTGGACAGACAGGAAGGACCGGCCCGGACGGTAGACTGTGCTGGCCACCTGGCCCGCGTGGAGTCGCGGTGCTCGCCTACACCTCGCCTACTCGAGTAGACGGCAGCGCCGCCGAGCCGCCGCCTTCATTAATAACCCGGCGCAGCTCCGTCGCTTCAGACCGGCTTTCAGAGCGGCGCAAGTCACGCTCCCACTGAGGAAGCACCGTCACAAGTGAGACGACAGCGGCGCGGCGGCGCTCGCGGTGCGTCGATTCAGCCTCTCGGCGCCGTATTGTGCGGCAGTAGCACGGCGGTGCGGCACGGCACGGCGGGGGGCGGCGCGGCGTGCTCGTATTTCAAACGGGTCACAGCCGGGGGCGGCGGACGGGGCCGGGTCACCCAGGCAGGTCCCACTGGCTTCGGCGGGGTGGGGTGACTGGCGACTGGCGACTGGAGCAGTCGAGTCACTGGCGGCGGACTTTCAAAGCCGCGGGGCTCTTTGCGACTGTTACGAACGTTCTCAGAGTATTTGGGTCAGCGTGGGCCTCAGCCTCAGTTCGTCGTATGTCGTGATTAACTCGCCACACCCAAGCACAGCACGGCTGTAGGCCGCACATGATTCATGACCGCCCCTGCCGGCCCACGCCCACCTGAGAGAGACAGCGGGGCGGCGGCGGCGACGGCGGCGACATATGAATATGTAGCGGTCCGGAGTCGACCGTCAGCAGCGCGAGCGCCCCACTCCTTCGCGCCCGTCTAGCCAGTGTCTTGGGCGTGTCCCCACCGGACGCTGTCGGGCCCACCCACCTTCTGTCCGCGGGCTCATCAATTGGCCCACAATGCAGCTCAGAGTTACACAGACAGAGCTGTGCAGCTGTGCATGATGGAAGCTCTGCTGGAGATGCGGCCCAACGCAGCTAATCTGATTAGCCGCCGGTCTCGTCTGGTGGTCTCGGAACAAAGCTACGTTGGTTATTACCATAGACCCGGCCTGTCGGGCGTCCACGAAGGATGGATACCGTGTCGTGATCCGCTCCAGCAGGGGGAGTGGTGTGTTCGGTCACTGTTCGCAGCAGGGAGCTCTCGTCAGCGGACTCCTGACTCTCATTGTGATGGTCCGCGGTCTAGGCCGAGTTTCAGACCATGGTTTGGTGTAGCAGTGCTGTTACAGTTTCTCTATTCGCCAGTAAATGTCACCACCTCTCGCTAGTCGGGGACTGCTCGAACCGATCAAAGACCAGCGTTCTCAGCGTCCAGGGACGCTCATCAAACAGTGACGGTCAGCGGCGATCGGAATCGGTGACCGGCGGTGATTATCGGCCCGGCCGGACGGACGGACCGCGCTCCCGACCAGCGGCAAACCGGCCCCCAAGACCGCTCGGAATCCACCGCGGCCGCTTTGATGCTCATTTGGAGAGACGAGGCGAGCATTTTTCGGTGCGGCTGCTAAATGAGGAGATGGGAGTGTGTAGCTGGACGGGGGCAGCTCCGGCTGGCTGGAGCGCCTCGTCGTCTCGCCGTGACAGCACCCCCGAGTCGCCGGCAGGCCGGGCGCGCCGGGCCGATCACTGCACCGGCGCAGCGGCGGAACCTGAAGCACGCCCTCGACATGAATACGTCGTGCGGTCATTAATTACGGTACTCATGAGCTCGGCGCATACCGCCGAATGCTCTTTGTTCGATGGAAAGACAGTTTGACTGTGCGAGCAGACAGAAGGCTACGCTTGATGAGCACTCGGTAATGACAAATGAAGCGGCCGCTTCACCTCGTGAGACCGTGATGAACTCAACTCCGTTTAGATGTTAAGTGGACGCACCTGTGATCGGTGGTCAAAGTCAAATATGTCTTAACCAGTTAGCTGTCATGACAGACTATCACCGTGACAGCCCTGACAAGTCAGCTCCAGTCAGCTGTCATGACAGACTGGCACAGTGACAGCTCTCACAGGATGTCTCCAGTGTACTGTCATGTCGACTCGTGGCAGCTTTGACAGGGCGGCGCTCCGTAGGGTTTCCGTGTAGAGCGTGACAGCTTTCCAGCTGCAGCGCGTCAATTAGCATGGTGCACCTGTCGGCCGTCATATAGAACCGGGACGTCATATGCACGCGGTCCATGCGGACTGACGTGCTGACCGCCCATTGTAGTCGAGAGCTACTGACTGACAGACAGGGGACGACGATAGAGTGATCCTCTTACCCAACAGAGTTGAGTGACAATGGTTCTGCAGAAACGGTGAATATTTCAGGATTTTTAGGCAAGAGGCACCAATGCCTCTTGCTGCCTGAACTTAATTAAGTTATGTTTCTCAATCACTAGATTTTAGTCCATCCTAGCTCTGTAAAAGTCCGCACATAAGTCTATAAGCACAAAGACGAACAGAACAAGAATGTCCATCACGATAATTGTGTATAATTAACTCGTAATTTGTAATAAATAAGAAGTGGGAAAGTAAAGCAATAGCATATCATATTCTATTGGATGCGATGTTGGTTGACAAGTATACGATACATGTGTGACGTTTCATTTGCGTCTTCCACCACCAGTTTCCGCCCTCACAACGGCTCTGCTAATGGACTCCAGTGTCCGTGGGGTCCTCTGGACCGCTACAATCCACAACAGACACCATCAATCAACGCACACACGATGAATATTTCATAGCGCTGACAGACCCGTTCGTGGGCCCGTATCAAACCGAGGTGTCATCGATGACAAATTGACGGGTGCGATGCGTCAGGTCTAAGGAGTTGTGTCAGAGTAACTCCACTTCCCTCGATACTCGGCTACATTAGGACCAGGTGCGACTGCGACACACTCACGACGACTGCCATGTGTGTTGGTATGTTTCTGTATTTCTCCGTATTTTCCGACGTCCCGTTGATTGATGAGATGTCCCTCGTCCTACGAAGCAAGGTGTCACCTTATGAGGAATGATATGTCCCTCGACCTGCGGCACTGCGCCCCTCTGCCCCATGTAGGCAGCTGGGTGTTGTTTGTGGTTGGTGTGGGCGTGGTGAGGGTCACAGGTCCCCGCTGAAGATGGGTAGGAGTAGCGGAGGGAACAGCTGGGCTCCAGCTGCTGCTGCGGTTGGGCTCGTGGCGAGTTGGATCTCGGTGAGACGTTCCATGGTGTGACATAGTATACCTATTGGTACGACAGGGTACGATATGGTTCGGCACGGTCTAATACAAAGACATTGTAAATCTCGGTACGGCACAGTACGATATAACAAATACGGCACGGTACCACACGGCACAGTAGGTGCTTGTTTCATGACACATCACGGCACAATACGACACGACACGTCACGGTACGACACGACACGGTACGACAGGCTACGGCACAGCTCGGCCCGGCGCCTCTCCCGACCTGCGCATCCGTCTGCTCGCCCACCTGACTGAGTGGCAGGCTGCGGTGCGGCGTTTGGCAGCCGGCCCGCAGCCCGCTCCCCGACGGTGGATTACATACGCGGTCTCAGCGCACAGCCCACGATATGGCTCATAAAACTGTTTTGCACATTCGCTATGACAACATAAAAATACAGATGGTTGAAATTCTCGACGGAGGCGGAGTATACGAGCGGCCGACAGCACACCTGTCCTTGCACATATTTACGAGCGCATTCCGAGTTTTATAAATATCTGATGAACCTGAAATTGTTTTTGTTTCCTTGTTGTTTGGGCGTGAAGTCAGGCTCGTGATAAGCGCTGGAGTGGAAAATTAAATGTTCACCTTTTTATGAGATCATGAGGTCACGCCACTTCACCGAGTTATGCAAGATGTGCATCAATATCAACGCGTGCTTGGGTTTCCGCATCCTTAGAATATCACAGTGATTATTCGTCCCCGTACAAATTCTGTGGTTTGGTGACAATACGGTTGAGATTGGTGCTACCTGGCTTAGGTTATTGATAGTGAATTATGATCCCCTATAATAGGTATACATCAGTTTGCTTTTGTTATGTAAATAAACACTTAACAGCTTATCTGTTTGTTTTATCATGCCGCTTCCCTTTTGCTGCTTTTGGCTGCATTTTAAAGCTTCTTATGCGCAACATCTGATTAACTTAATGACATATAGGTATTTCTTGAATCGGTTGATGAAAAGCTAGCCTATTTAGATCACTTCTTCCGGCATGCTCCCGGTTTGATTTGCCCTGGTTAGAGCGGCTGACTCAAGCAGTGACCACGACCAGGGAGGGGGGGGGGGCTGGCCGCACCGGGACAAGGCGGACTGGGAGGACCGGACCGGACCGCCGGACGGGCCAGTGATCGGCGAGATCGGGTCCTCGATGTCGCGATAGCTGTCGATACCGACTCCGATGATCGATCGGGTGCTCCGTCAGAGACGGTCGCACCACTGTCACCCACCTTCTGTCAGAGACGGTCTTCCAGTTTCTACTGCCAGCTACCTGCTGTCAGCGCGCCTGCCGCGTCATAAAATATTTTTGAAGTCATGCGTCATATCGACTTTTCATGTGAAATCCGAAAGTTGCTCTTCTCATCCTCGAGGTTGACACACCAGCAGGCTCAGAACACTCTCACACACTGAGTGACACACTCACAGACTGAATGACACACTCAGCGACTGAGTGACACTTTTGACACCTCTGACAGGCGGCCAGGTGACGCCCCTTCTCGAGGCGCTGGCGGGCGGGCCGTCCGACATGGCAGAGGTGTCAGCCCCTATCAGAGCTATCTCCAGACCTGCCGGATATGTCCCTCACTCCCCTCCCCTCCAAACCGAGTCCGCCGAGTCGGTTCACCGTCACTGCGGACGTCGAAACGTCATGAAAAGTGGGGGCAGGTATATGTACATATTTTATGCTAAAATTTTGGTAGTCCAAACTGCGCTACATGGGAAGTCAGAAGACGTAGTTTCGTGTGATTTTTTCCTGATGAGGTGCTTCTGTTTATGGCTCCGCCTTTTAGACAAAACAAAACGTTTGCTTACTAGATAAATGTTTTAGTGTGATAAGTGCAAGGTTCAGGGCACATCGACAATTCCGTAACCGTCACCACCACCACCAACACACCCCTCCCCTCTCTGCACCATGTCGGTGGATCCCTCCCCACTGTACCGTGTCGGTGGATCCCTCCCCACTGTACCGTGTCAGTAGAATCCTCCGCTCGGCGCCACGGCGGCTGTTGTGGCGTGTCCGTCCTCGGATGGATCGGTGGCTAATCCAGGCTGTGGTTGAGGCACGGCCTCAAACAGCAGGCGAAGATGATGACACATTTGTGTGAGTGGGACTGGTCGAGGTCCGATGAACAGCTGAGTAGGCGCTTCGGAAGGCAACATTTTCTGCAAGGTGAGCGGCTTTGTTCCTTAGGTGATGTCATGCATTGAAATATAATTCATATCGATATTTCATATTTTCTTTACCGATTCAAAACAGTTGCCGGTTCCCGTCATAGCCCAGAAGTCGTGATTTTTTTAATGAACGGTGGATTCTGCGCGGCGAGTCTCGATATAGCACTTCTTGGTAAACAACAGTGATGTCTGTCTGGTGGGTCTTCTGGCCCGGGTCCCGGCGACACGTGGTCTGTCGCCCTGACAGGCCCCCCCCCCCTCCCCCGACCTCGCCGCGCCACATTCCGATCGGCGGCGCATCTGTCACGTCGTCACCTGGCGGCGCCTGTATCTGATGTCCCGCGCGCCGTCAGCTCCGTCGCCGTCCGCTCCCCTTCCCTGCCTCCCCGCTGCAAGGCGACATCCGAGGGGCGGCCGGGAAGGTCGCGACATGGTGAGGCGACGGTTAGAAAACATCCATCAAACGGGGATCAGTGGTTCGACAGGCCTGTTGGGGGCCGCGACGGCCTTGGCATGCAGTGCAGGTGATAAAACCGGGCAGGCCATTACACCAACAGCTAGAAACACGGTTTATTTTATTGTGTCAGATACCGGGTAAAGCCACGAAAACCGCATGTTGTGCGGGTTCGTGATGGCGGCTTTAGCGAGTTCGGCGAACCGAGCTCAGCCAGGTAACCGGGAAGAGGACGTCCTGGTTCGCGGCAGACAGCGGGAAAATAGTGCGGTCAGCTCGCTTTGCCTGTCAGCGCGCTCATCAGGCACTGCGGCGCTGCCAAACAATGCACGATGTTGCAACGTGTCGCCAGTCGAGCGGACAAATAGAAAAACGCCGTGTCGTGCGAAAGAAACCCGTCGTTCTCGGCGGCGGCGACGTCCGTCCATGGCCGCCGGAAAAGTGCGGCGTTCGCGGCGCGGTGCGGCGTGGTGCGGCGCTGGTGGCAGTGGTGTTGTTGAACACGCTGGTCGACACGGCTCGTGAGGCCCGGACGCCCGGAGCCACCTGGTCGCCATGTCGGCGCCGCGGCTCACCCGGACACCGGGCACAGCTCGTGACTGACGGCTGATGGCCGTACGGACGGCTGACGGCTGACGGTTGTGTACTGACGGCTGATGGCTGCTGGATGACGGCTGACGGCTGACGGCTGACGGCTGGGTGTTGATGGCTGAAGACGAAGTACGGACGGTCGATTGCTGACGGCTGAGCACTGGCAGCTGATGGCTGACGGTTGTAAAGGCTGACTAGCGAATGGTTGCGGCTGGATGCAGAATGTTAGGTACTGGCTGCAGAAGACTTCTCACTAAATACGGAAGGCTCAAAGCTGCCAGCTGGCTGCAGTTGTCTATCTGGTCGCTGGGCGGCGAATGAAGGATGTTAGCTGATCTAAAATGTCCCGCAGTTCTATGCAGGATGTCCTCGGCTTCACGCAGAAAAGATATATGTCCAATTCTCATTTCTCAGGAACTATGTCTGTTTCTAACTGCTGGCTATTCCGTGTCGAAGTGTGAGGCTGATTGGACGCCGACGTAGACGGCTACCGGCGCCACCTCCCATGCATTCCGCGGTTCTGCTCAGCTCAACCCGTTCCCTCCCCCGACTCGCAGTCTATGTCGACAGGTCCGACTATCTCAGCCACTCCGTCTCCGACAGGGCAGCCGACAGCTGCTGTGTCGACAGACCTGTCTAGGAACCGCTCGTTCCCTGACACACCAAGCTTCAGGCACCTCAGACAGCTCCCGATCCTATAGTCCCAGCTAAGCACGAGTTTTTATGAGGCCGTTGAACGAGGCCTGACACTGTCGGCTTCTGAGCGTCACCGCCAGATATGGTAGGCAGGCGACGACAGAACAATCGCACGGTCTGAAACGACCGTTAGGCCGAGCCGGAAATTTTTCAGACATATTTGTGCAATGCATTCCTGTTTTGACTATATGTCATGCGCAGGCATTTTATCTGATTGTGCAAACTTTTGCATTTAGCTGCAAGTGCACACACGTGTAAAAACGCTAACGCCCGATCTCGCTTGCCGTGGGTAATTTTTAGCGAGATACTGTGCTGTTATAAACGGACACGATTAAATCTTGATGATTAAATCTTCACGAGTAAATCGCGATCGGTGAGGTAGGGGCGTTTTAATCTGAACTGGAGTGTTCCATATTTCGTAAATGAGATATAAGCCTGCACTAGAATCCAATGTAAGAAAATCATTTTTACCTAATTATATGTGGTATCTTTTGTTCCGATTCTCTCTTCGTGTTCGGAATATTTTGTCATTACTAACAATATTAATCGGCGAAAATGGGGAAGCCAAACGGTTGACCAGGATGGATTGATATGGAACAGTGGCGGCGACGTATGACATTTACCTCTGTGAATCATCGGCAAGGTGCCAGGACGGGACGAGACGGTATGGGGCGGTATGGGGCGAAACTGGACGGGACGGGACGGGACGGGACGGGGGAACGGGACAGGGACGGGACGGGACAGTATGGGGCGAAACGGGACGGGACGAGACGGTATGGGGCGAAACGGGACGGGACGGGACAGTATAGGGGTGGGACGGGACGGAACGGTGTGGGGTGTAGCGGGGAAGGCAATTTAAACGGCCGGGAATAAAACAGGCAAAGGGATTGTTTTTGAGCAAAATACCTGTTACCTACATATAATCTACATAGAATCTACAATCTACATAGAATAAGTAAGTCTGATCAAAAATTAAAAGGTAGGTGAGCTGGTAACTTTATCAATAAAAAGTTATGTCCCTATCTGTTGGGAAAGGATTCGAAATAATGAAGATGTTCCCTTTTGCTTTGAAAGAAAAATCTATTTAACGTTCTTCATGGTCTCATTACGTGGGTGACATCTATCACGGACTTTTTATTGGTATCTACCTAGCTGATGCTATTATCTGAGCTGTAATCAACATTGATTTCCTTTTTCGTCACGGGTATTCACGTTATTCCCATGGTTCCTAATGATCTCAAGTTGCGAGCACTTATGCGGAAGTGATTTTATTGTGCAGTGAACCAATGAGGCCTTGTTTATGCTGACCATGAAAATGTTGAACAACAGCAACCACTACCTACCTTGTAACCGTATCCTGCTCATGGGCTGTTTGGGTCATAATGAGGCTGGAAACATATTCTGGGATTTTCTAACTGAGATGGCGTCATTGACTTCGGGGCTATTTTGGCTCATTAGAGCACCAACCAATTACGTTTCTGTTAACACTAGCAGGAGGAATCATGCAATCACTGATTACAATGCTTACTCGTATGTTCACATCACTTGACCTCGTCCTAGTGTCTTGCAGGATCAGATGTCCCTTTCTAATGCAGTTGTCTGGGTGTATTTCTTTGAGTCAAGAATCCTGGCAATGTTTGTTTTAAAAAAAATGACCGAATTAAGATGCTGCCATGGAAAAGCACTTCCCTATTCAATAGGGACAATGGGGATAGTTAGCTCGCGTTGAAAGACCGTGTCTGATGAGTGATAACCTTTGCATCGAGCAAAGTCCATGGCAGGGGTCCTTCATTGAGCGGAACTTTGATGCGGCGGAGGATTTTAGTCCAGACTAGCGAGTGAGCTCAGAGCTCACCGGCTGCTGAGATGGTCCCGCTCTGCGCTGTCGGCACCATCCACCGACTCCCCGCGCCGCGCGCCGCCGGGGCGCCTGTTTTGCCGCGCGCCGCCCCGCCGCGCGGCGGATCCGGCGCGGCGCACGCCAGACACGGCAATTACGCCGCGGGCGGTGCGCCGACAAAGCCTGCCGTCGCTAACGACGAGCGACGGAGCCGACGGTAACCGAGCCAATCGCGGCGGCGGAAGTCGGCGACGGAGCGCGCCGACAACAGAGCCGAGAGGGCGCAGAGGTCGCGGGACGTGAGGGAAGGGAGAGGTCTATAGGTGGGGATGCGAAGCTGAAAAGGATCTGAAGCTGTCAGGTTCTCTTGCTTTCAGGGCGAAAGAGATTTCATGTCTAAAATATTCATAGCTCTACCTCTCTGTTCACCTATGCTTCACTGCCTATACAATACTGCCTTCACTGTATTTGCCTTTTTGTACCAATATGAAAGCCGAACGGTATCTATGCCTACCTTATACCTGCATACGCATTCTGATTAGCGCATTAATCACTGCTTACATACTTTTTAATCCAGCATATGCTTATTCTAGCAGGTCAGACCGATGTTCCGTAGCATCTTCTCACAACAAACCAACGCATTAATCTGGTTATACTCGTAATGAGTTTGGCCAAAGAACGGTTTTTTTTGTTTTCACACATCCGACTGGCGACTCCTAGCGACGATGCCGCTTCTGTCAATCAATTTAAATTGGCAGTGAACCAGCACGGCCTGGCCTTAGC